GGCTTCAACTTCAGTCGCAGTCCTCCGCACCCACTGCGATCGAAGCGACACGACCAACCCAAGAGATACACACTGTCCAAAGAAACAATGGCTTCTTGGAAAACGACGGTGGCTTCATAAGCTAAGACAGAACAAGCAACAACTAATGATAATGCGGAAAGGGAAGCCGGAAAGGTGCAAGCAAGTGGTGCCACTTCTCGTATCCTGCGTTTAAATCCTCCAGGGCTCCCGGCATTGTGCAAGAGGCGCTGGGAAGCTTCATAATTTGTTACAGCGAACCTGATGGACTCCGTCTGAAACGGTAGCAACTTCTTTCTTGATGATTGGGATGTGCTCTCACTCAGCAAATTGGACTCACCATAACGGTGTTCTCTCACTCACTCACTCACTCGAGACGGTCTTCTCACTCACTCACTTGAGACGGTGTTCTCTCACTCACTCACTTGAGACGGTGCTCTCTCACTCACTCACTTGAGACGGTGTTCTCTCAATCGTGCTACACTATCAATCCTTGGTAGTGACGCTTTTCAGAAGCCCAGCACCGACACAGTGGCTACATTTGCCGGCGAACGATCTATCCTCGCTTGTCTCGAGAGCTAAGCCCTCCAATGGAATTAATAAACATCTCTGTAACACCAACAGAAAGATTACTAACTGAAAGAGGATTTGAGGGGGGCCAAACCAAGTGGTACCTTGAATATATAGTGAAGTATCATTTTTTTAAATGAGCAACAGTTTCCACTTGCTGTACCGATCGCGTTCGTCATTTGATGCAATGCTAAACAGAGATATTCCAAACTCATCAACAATTACAACCGCTGAACAATCATTAACTAGCTATTTTGATGTCCTTGTGCATCGTCACATCGCTACTGGAATTTTTTGGAATAATGTTTGACAAACATTGGAATGAAGCTTCGTAAACCTGCAGTCGCCTTCTTTTGTCCTTTCGTAATTGTTCTAGTGTAGCAGGGAGCAGAAATCGGCAGGATTACTCCCTATTTCTTTCTGGATACTTGATCCTCTTCGAAAGAAGACAAGCTTCATGAGAAACAGTTGGAAACGGCAGAACGTATCGCGGACTACATTCCTAGCTTGCGCAGCAACTGAAAGTCATGTGTGATTGCGTCATCCCAACACCAACCGAGACGCCGCTTAGACTCGTCATCACATCACAAATATCTCGTCATCACAAATATCTCGTCATCACAAATATCTCGTCATCACAAATATCTCGTCATCACAAATATCTCGTCATCACAAATATCTCGTCATCACAAATATCTCGTCATCACAAATATCTCGTCATCACAAATATCTCGTCATCACAAAATATCACAAATATCTCGTCATCACAAATATCTCGTCATCACAACATCATTAAGAGAGGAAGTACAGCTCACCACCACAATGATTGGTAGGTGGCAAGAAATGAGAACATAAAACCCATTCCTCGAATTGCTTGAAATTCAAAAGCGATAAATGGGAGCATTGAATACAAGCAATGGTCATTACAAATCAAGAAGGGGTCAACAAGTGAACAGCATCACTCGTGCTTCGCTCAGTGCGAAGCAGTACATATGGGCAGCGGAATCTCAAATGAAGAAATAGTGTTTCCAACGATTTTGTCGCAGGAATTTCAGTGAAGAGTTCGTGATCGGGCCTTCCTTCACCACTCCAAATCCGTCTCTGGGACTCACTTCAGGAGAGTGCTCATGCTGCTCTGTGGGATGACTGACTTCTTCGCATGGAAGCGACATTGTTGATCAAAGTCCAGATGTGTCCAAAAAGAAGTCGTTTTCAAGCATGGCCATACAGTGTTTGAGGCTGATGGACATTGTCGAGCTGAGGATTTCGTGAGGCTTGCGGTTACCTTGTAAAGTCGGCGTAATGATTCGCTTAAGGATTCATGACCGCAATCAAACCCAGCGTATTCATACAAACGCGGAACCAACCGATGAAATATGGAACGATTACTCGGCAGTAATTTCTAAGCCCATTGTTGCTGTTAACTCGAAATATTTGTGATAAGATATTTGTGATGACAAGATATTTGTGATGACGTCATGACACATTTGTGATGACGTCATGACACATTTGTGATGACGTCATGACACATTTGTGATGACGTCATGACACATTTGTGATGACGTCATGACACATTTGTGATGACGTCATGGCACATTTGTGATGACGTCATGGCACATTTGTGATGACGTCATGGCACATTTGTGATGACGTCAGGACACATTTGTGATGACGTCAGGACACATTTGTGATGACGTCAGGACACATTTGTGAGGACGTCATGACACATTTGTGATGATGTGATGACGTCATGACACATTTGTGATAGCGGTTTATTTGCGAAACTTGTATTTGTGCAACCGTTTTTTTTCTTCCTTCCAGTCCCATAAAAATTCACCAAGTTCGCTCTTTCGACGTTTTGACTCTGTTGAACGGAACCCAAAACCTGAATGGCTCTCTGCTGATGTTCTGTCAGACAGCTGTTTCAATTTCTTTTCAACTGTTTTCTCTCTGTAGCATCGTGCGTTGTCGTTCCGGGGATCTATGCGTAGAGCCTCGTCAAAAATCCGCAATCGCGTCATCGTAGCGTCGCTGAAATAAACAATCGAAGGCCCGTCAGCAGCGATGCTGGAGAACTCACTCGATTGGCAAGTGCTGCGCCTCTAGCAACAAGAGCATCGACGTGAGTTGGGACACTCGCTAGAGCCGCATCATACTGGTCGATTGCAGCTGAGTACTGTCCTTCATGTGCGTAGCGGATTCCCCGTTCAACAAGAGATGACGCCCAACGAAGATCTTGCGCGAGGTGAAGGCGATCTACCAGACGCCTAGAAGATAAAAAAGAGGATGACTAGAAAACATCTGAGAACATCTGAGAACATCTGATCAGAAGTCTCGGAAGACTCTTTTACAAAATTGTTGACTCACTCCTTGGATGGAGGTAACTGTGACAACGAAAACTTTTGGGCGAGTCTACTGAGCGACGAGACAGGAAGAAGTGACGCTAATTGATGATGATGATGATGATGAGATGATGGGGGAAGTTGAAGATTCTCCAAGCGGAAAGATTGAGACCGTGGGTTGCAAAACCTTCAAACACGGAAGTGAAGAAGGCATTTCAGACAAAGAACAACACTCATGCTCGGTCTTCAGATCCATCTTACCTTAAATCCTTGGATACACAATCAGCAAAACCAAGAAAACCTTGAAGCAAACTTTGATGTTCTAAAGGATGGGATGAGCTTTTCCACTCTTGGTCAACTTGAGATTCTGAATTCAGTTGTTGAGGAACTTCTATCGGAGAAAAATGATCCGAAGTAAACTTTTCAAGGAAAGAAGAATGAATTTGAAAATTCTCGTGAGTTCGATTGAAAACCTGGAAAGTTCAAAAAGCATATCTATGAAGATGTTGTTACTGCCAAACACCGATTCCGCCACGTAAAGGGTTCCGCCATTCCGCCACGTAAACGGTCCCGCTACGTACATCAATGCCGTACCCATCGCTAACTTGAAGGAAGACGGGCACTCAGAGTCGAGATCAAGAAAAAACACTGACACCTAAATTTGCGAGGATTTTTTGTCCTTCTGAGAAATCTCTGTTGGAACTAGATTCGAGGGAACTTTCATTTGAGATCCTTCCGATGCGTGTGATGTCGCGAGTAGTGGATTGGGAAAGCATGCAACGGAGGAAGACTCCAGGCTTCGGAATTGTAACTGCAACCCCCGTAGAAGTTGTAGTTCTTTCAACTTCATTCGGGCGCAAATAGAAGAGCTGAAAGATAATTGACGTTCTTCATCGATTATTTTTGTCAAACTCTGAGATGAACAGAAAAAAGAAAACATTCAAGTACCTCTCGAGTATTTCTATGTGATAGACGCAAAATTCCGCGGAAACCCTTTCTACTGTGCTCGCCAAAGCAGTGGGTGGCTCCGCCTTCAGCCTCAAAAATCAATGAATGACGAATTTCCTAAATGTCTACATCCCAGACTCGAAAGATCCTCGATGGCTGTAATCAATACTATGAGCGCGTCAAGCGGCCTAAGAGATAATGATGATGATGATAAATAGATAATAAGACTCAAAAAGACAAGAGTACCTGATGTATTGAAGGACAATACCACGTACACTATTACCAACACGAAGATGTCTCTGAAAGCACTTCAATCAAAGAACTGTTTATCTGTATCGTCTAACCAATAGGGATGGGTTTAACGAACTTTTCGAATGATAGCCATGAGCGGAAACAATTGGAATGACCAACTGATTCCCAAACTGATCGATAATGATCGAATCTTGAAGAAATAATAGGGACACATCAGAAAATCCTGGACTCCGTTGGAACCCTTTTAAGCGCTCGCGTCCGTCGCCACTTTCTCGTCTATCTCTTCTTTGTCGACTTCTTGATCTCCATCTTTCTCTCGGCGACATTCGTCCCATCACAGATGCGTTGCGTTTCCATCGATTATCTTCATCATCATCGCAACTGGAAGAGGGAATCCTTCGTCTCACATCGTTCTGGATAACGCGACGCTTAGGCGGCGGCGATGAGGAGCGTCGGCTGCAGGAATGCTGGCTCTGTCGTTCCATTTCATCTTTTCTCCTTGACCTGAACGTCCTCAGAGAATGTTCAACTCTGCTGGACACATCAGCATTCGTCACTGGTGCAACTCGTTCTAGAGAAACTTCATTGGGTTGGGAGAACAGAGTCCACGGCAGAACTGGTGAAGAGGATTGTTGTAACGGATTAGAAGAAGACGGAACACGACGACGTAAAGCAGCGCGAATCTGATGGGAAGGATGAAGTGTATGAATCATCAATAAACAGAGCTATTACATAGTAATATTATCATAAGCGCCTGATAATGGAACTATGACTCTCACACTGTCAGCGCAGATCTTGGCTGTTTCCACCAATTGATTTTCCGCCATCCCTGATCAAAATTCTGTCACAGATTTTGGTGTTGGTCCGACAATGCCAAAAGTAAGGACATTGAAGAGTCAGAAACCACCAGAAGGATGGGAGTCAATAGAAGAGACGTTAGAAGAATTGAATCAAAAAATGCGAGAAGTGGAACGGGATCCTCATGAAGGGAAGCGACGATGCGAAGCCTTATGGCCAATATTGAGGATTCACCATCAAAAATCAAGGTGGGCGAACCATCGAAAATCAAGTTTGAATATTCGGAAACTTCTTTTGTTCTGAAGGTATATCTACGAACAATATTACAAGAAGAAGGAAATTAGTAAAGAGCTCTTTGATTGGTGTTGCCGTGAGGGTTATGCGGATCAAAATTTAATTTCTAAGTGGAAGAAGTCTGGATTTGAAAGATTGTGCTGTTTGAGGTACGGACAGTCTTCTGAGTAGCATCGACTGTCGGATTGTAGATGTGTCCAATCGTCGGGAACCAATTTCGGAACAGCGTGTATATGTAGAGTACCAAGAAAGGACTTAGAAGATGGAAAGGTGGGATTTTTTAGTCAACGAGTGAATCTATCCAACTTCGTGTAGAGTGTTGAGTGCGTCAATTGCGGATGTCGGGGCTGTGCAAGCACAGATTGACTGGCATGAAGAATTTTTTTTTCGGAGGTGTTTAGAACGAAACAGTTGAATTTTCAGAAATGCATTTTCTGAAGGAATTGATCTTGTGGTTGAGGCAAACAACGCGCTAATTTCTGGCCATCAAGATAACGAAGCTGAGGGATCATTGACGAGACAGTCGCACGATACGCTGATGAGACAGAGAAGAGTGAGAAGTCGAAATAGAAATTATATTCTTACTGTCGCAATCCACTTTGGCCGTCAAAGGATTTCCCGACAAGTAGAGATCCTCTAGAGATGAAAATTTTTCACGAAGGCATTCTATCAATCTGATGAGCCCTAGAAGCAAAAAACAAAAAAAAAAACTCGTTAGGAAGTCCCAAAATGTTTGAAATGAAAATTGTTCACTATTTACCTTCAAGAGGAGTTTCGCCTTCACTATGATCGATACGGTTGGAAAACAGTCCTAATATACGAGCGTTGGGACATCTTGGTAAATCACTAAGGGCATCGAAGGTGAGACGGTTGCTTGACAAAGATAAACTGAAAAAATCGATCAAAAATAGAGAATTTTAATAAAGAACTCAACTGATATATCGAAGCATGACCATCTAATAGTTGAAATAATCCTGAAATGGATTCGAGAAGATTGTTCCGAACGTCAACAAGACGCAAATTGGGACTTGATGTTGTCCATGATAACGCATCGGTTGATTTTATCGAATTCAGTGGAATATCTTTAATGTGATTGTGGTTTAAGTAGACTTCTTCAAGTTTTGGAAGAATAGGAAAGCAAGGAAATTGTTTTAAATCGTTCGATGTCAAACAGGCTATCCGAAGATTCTGAAATAAAACACCGGTTCGGTTCGACAACTCCACCCTACGCTCACAGAACGTAGCAAACTGGCTTCGTCTTTTCCAATGAAGCTCTCTAGTCTTGCTGAAACATCAGCAACAGCTTCTTCGAAATCCAATGTTATACAAAAATTCCGGGACAGATCGAGAGACGCACGGAACGCGTCTTTGGGTTCTGCATCTCTAGGAATACTCCATTGAAGGTTTGCTATTTCTGGTTCCTTCTTGAGCGCTTCCCGAAGTGATTCTGCAGTAACGATCGTCAAATGTTTGAACCCCACATGACAAGACGCCACCCCATTATCAGAAGTCCTCTCAAGACGAAGTTGCCAAGAATCTGGGCGTATTTCTTCTTGGGGGTTCATCACCATATCAGGACCTCCGTGGATTGGGACAACAAATCAGCGCATTAGGCATGGAGAACAGACTTCCAGCTGCTGAAATCATTTTTTCTTGAGCTTTGGAGAATTTTGTTAACAATCTTCTCGTGAATTCCTCATCAAGCTTATGACGTCGAATTCAGAGCACCGGAGCTCGCCTCACAGAAACTCTCGATCACCTTTTGATGAAGACACAACAATGAAGGACGAAGACAGATCGCGCTCTGGTTCTCCCCAAGGGCGTCGCTTCGACGGACGAGAAGCTCAGGACGATGAACGGCGCGGTCGCTCTGGAAGCTCCAAGCGAAAGAGGTCCCGAAGCAGCAGCAGCCAACAATTCAGTAAGAGGGGCCGGTCATCATCGCGCGGTCATCGAAGGGGTGGAAGTCATTTGGGGCAAAGGGGAGTTGATATTGTGAACATAGCCGACGAAGATGCATCATTCATTTTGGGTGCTGGTGGAAGAACCAAGAGGAAACTGTCACGCGTTTGCGGTGCTGAGTTGAATATAAAAGAACATGAAGGTCGCACTATTTTGGAGATTCGCGGGACTGATGAGGCTCGAGATAGAGCGAAATTATATGTTGATTTTGTAATGCAACAGCGTGTTGGCCCGGTCAGACTGAAACCAGACCAACAAACCAGAGATGATTTGACTTGCATTAAAGTAAGTTGTTAATGGATCTATTCTCTGGACTCATCTGACGTTTGATCGAAGGTTCCCCACGAGTGCGTTGGGTATGTGACGGGTCGGAAAGGTCAAGGTCTTAGATCCATCGAAGAAGAATGGGGAACTTTAATGTTTTTTACGGATCTGCGTTCTGAAAGCACTGGAGAATTTGAGAATCTCGCCATCTTCGCGCCCGAGTGAGTTACCTACTAGAGTTCGAGTTAGCACCGTCAAGGTCTAGTTGAGTCGTCTCCATGAACAGTCGCGTCGTCGTATTCTAGAACTAGAACAAGAAGACCTTCCTATGCTGGTCTTGCTGTATATGCGGGCATCTCAACGCCATTTCTACGAGAGTGATTTTCCATCGCGATCTCCATGTACCTTCATGCTTCACTTCATGTTCCACGATTCCGACACGTATGTTGTCACGTGAGGTTGTCATACTCTGTGCGCCATAGTGTTGGATTCAGATTTATGTGCAATCCAGTATTTAGAGACCGTCCGCTATATTAAGCTGCCCAGTCGTGAAAATCTCGTCGTCGCATTTTTGTGATCTTGTGTTCTGTAGTGAACGGAAGCGTCGCGGAGCAGAGTTGAAGGTGATGAGCGCAGTTGAACAGAAAATGCCTGGCCACTACACGAAAGACACCACGTGAGTATCCCTGGTCCTTTGTATCCATGAATTAACCAAGTCAAACAATGTCCCAATATGCGCTTTCCTGTTCTCTCTCAGTGAGTTCATCGACGAATCGGATGCTTTTGGGACAGACAGAGTCCCAATCAAGGAAGAGGATTATTCTTATGCTTTGGGGAAAGAGGGAGCAACACGTAAAAAACTTGCTCGCGCATCTGGGGCGATTCTTGAATATGTTGGAAGGATTGCGTTCGTTTCGGGTAAGTAGTGAAGCAGAAGGTGAATTATTTATGTGAACGGATTGTTTATTTGAATGGATGTCAATGGATATTTATAATGGATGTGATGATTTATGTGAATGGATGGTTTATGTGAATGAGTCCATTAGAATTCATTCTCTACGGATTCCAACGTAATGATGATGTTATTTTCGCGATTGTAGGAAATAAATGTGAACGAGAGCGTGCCCGCGAATACTTGCAATGGCTGTGTGCCCAACGTACCAACTACGTTCACGTCGTTGATGAAGGACGAGGGGATTGCATGGTCGTTCAGGTTCCGACAAATTGCGTTGCATACGTTACTGGAAGCAAAGGAAGCTCATTGCGACGTATTGAAGACATCAGCGGAACATTCATCTTCCTCGACGGAACGAGCCGCGGACGCGACAACGAGAAATTGTTGATTTTCGGCCACGATAGTAATGGACGTCGTCATGCGAAGGAATTGGTGTTGGAACGTATTGATGAAAAGTTAAGCGGAAGATCTAATCGGAATTACTATCGTGGACGAAGTCGTTCGAGAAGCCCCCTACGGAGGACGACGCAATGACCGTCAATGGTGGAATTCTCCGGGTATGTTGACGCGATTATCACAAATGACGGTTTTTCGAGCAATGCCGGAGCTGTGTCCCAAAAACTTCCACCCATATCTCTTTCAGGTGGTGGTCGGTCTTCCTATGGATACCAAGGCGGCGAATCCCGCGGTTACGGAAGTCGCTATGAGGGAGGAAATTACGATCCCAGAGGTCGCGGATCTTATGGTGGTGGCTACCAGCAGGATTATTATGGGAGTCGACGGGATTACAATGACCGAGGTCGTTACCATAATAACAGCCCGAGTCAGTATGATCGCAGTCCAAGAGACTCGAAGAACGACAGACCAAAAGATCGATCAATGAGTCCGCGGCGGGATCGTCGCGAGCGTCGCTAGTTTTTGTTCCGTTATTTTCTGCTGATTTCTCGCACAAATTTAACGTCGACACTTTTTTGCCTCTGGGACTGTAGAGGACGATGTACTCTATCACTGAGGAGAGTTCAAACGATTTAATGATGGAAGAAGGGGGCCAGCATTTTAATTCTTCACAAGAATATGGAAATTCTAGATATACATCTCATGTTGATGACAGACACACTTCCCACGAATTCGAACAGCCACAGCTTCTACAAACTCCTCCTCCCATTGATGCATTTCCACAATCGAATCTGTACCAGGAAGGCAAGTCGCGTCGAGGGGTCGTCACGTCGGCCCACTGTTCCCCTCTAGGAGATACTTCCCAACACGCCGAGACTCATGTAGATGTCGTTCCGTCCACGAAGGTGACATCGCATTCTCACTCCCCTTCGGCGCGACGCTCCCCAAAGGAATCTCAATCCCTGAAGCGGCGACTTTTTCCTCGTCTCGTTGCTTTGCGAATTGCGTTTCCGGAATGGGACGACAACCAACACTCGGGACGTTGGCATACAGGTACGCGAGATTCATGAACATCTTTCACCTGCCATTTCAGATTTTATTCTTTCACGAGCAAATCCGGAAGACCTTGAAGATTATCGTGCGGTCTTATCCGTCGTTCCTGTTTCTCACCTTCAACAATCATCTTCTGGATCGCCACCATCTCCATTCGCAACTCCACAAGATCGACGTCTCGCTATTTGCGTTCTGCAAGTAAGAGACACGCATCTAGCACAGATGGCCGAATGATCTAAGGCCAAGCGTTGAATATCTGAATGACAATTTTTTATAAGCCAAAGCGAAAGTCACTTGTTTGGTTCTTCAGGGTCTCGATGCACTTCGCCTTGATCTTGATCCTGAGTTCCGCCCTTTATCGCATACTGAGCTTCTCAACTGTTCTTATGTTCCCCCGTCACGCTGTCTTACTTGCACTGATCGATTCGTCGGTCACGCAGCAGCAGCTCAGAGACGCCAAATCCATGACGAAGACCCCGCAGACCATCAACGACTGAGTCCTGCGACTATCGGTGAGAAGTATGAGACGGTTTCCTGAAACCATCAGAAACACACTCTTAGGACCATCTCCATACTCCTTCTTCTGTTTTTAGCTTCTCACCTTGCCGATGAACATTGTTCTCCGATGAACACGCAGCTACCATTTGAATCTGATAACGATGACATTGACAGAAAATCCACCGATGAAGCCATTCCAGTGGATTCTTTCTTCCCTCATCGGAAAAAATACCACGTGAGTCGTACTCATCTCTCGTAACATGATGCGTGCTTTGTAGGTGTTTTGTTGGGGACGGACTGAGTGGAGTTGTCATCTTATTCGCGGGGACCGCTTTAACTCGCATCAATTTTTCTTGATGCAAGTGAGCCAGTGCATTCAATGCCGAGCACTTTGTTTCAGCTCTTAGAGAAAAATACCGGGGATGCTCACATGTTTTACTGTCGATGGGGACGCGATGAGGAAGACGGCAACACGAACTTTCGCAAAGTCGAAAATTTGGTGAGCACCAAAGGATCCCTAGCAGCACAACGCGTTTGCAGAAGGAGGGTCGTCGATTGTTTGAAGAGACGTTTGAGTTCAAAACGGGCAATAAGTGGTCTGTCTTCGATTACTCTACATCTCTTTCTACGTTGTTGGTTTTGTTAGGCAAGGCAGCGTTCTTCGGACATTGCCGCGGTTTGTTCCAGCGAAAGGGAAAGTCAGTTTCGCGCTCGACCGTGTTGAAAGTATGCTTGTTTCTTATTCTGCAGTACATTCTCCACAATGACATTAGCGATCATTACTCTCTAGCTCTTCCCTTGAGGGGAATCATTGGAAATCGAGGAAGAAGATAAACACCGATGATGGGGATTGGGACAAACTATAAACACTGATAAAGGAATTGGGACAAGAGAGAGCACTATTATTGTGGATATCTTCTTGTTTTTTTAGTGCAGCATTTTTTAGCAGTGTCATTTTTGGCAGATGTCGTCTCAACGGTCCTGATAATTTGCTTCATGATAGATTGATGACGTGATTGTTTGGATGGAGATCTTAAAATGTGGATCCATTCATGATTTCAGGTTTCTGATGTCAAAGTGGTCAATCCCATCTGTTTTTCATATTCGTTTTCTCTTAAGGTTGTTCCGACGAGAGAGCTCTTTTTTTAGATGGCGTCTTTGTTTGAGGAACTCTCATCCCCCCAAAGAGAAACAAGAAAGTCTCCAATTGAATCAGGCGTCCAACTTCATGAATCACTCCCATCTCCAGATTTCATCAAAGTGTCTTGGCAGCTCTGGATAGAAACGTTAGTAAAATGTGTTACTCTTCCCCTTCCATCCTCTATCTCTTTCCAGAAATTCATTTTCCGATGGGCCCTCATTTCTTTCAGCCCCATACTCCGTCAACCCCGAAGACTTCAATCGTTGTCGTGAATTCAGGATCCCATTTACGATCGATTCGGAGTCGCAGCGTGTTTTTTTCGAGATCCCAAGCCCGTCAGCGTTTCCCTGTTTAGTCCCCACCCTTCCCTCTCAACGTCGACGGCTTTCAGTCAGCCCTGCAGAACACTTTCTTGGCGCTCTAGAACGAACCTCTGGCTTCGATCTTCCAGACGATCAATCATCAGACAGCGAAATCGATCGAACTGGACGATCGTTCAAGACCCGCAGGCGCTCCACGTTCACGGAACTTCCCTCAGTAGAGATTTCGTTTTTAACCGACGCGTCATCCTCGGGAACGGCGATTGCTTCCTTGGCGTCGACGTGGAAGAGTAATGATGGAAGCATAGAATCGTATTGCTTGACTAAGAGTGGCACTGTGTTCACATGGAGTGGCATACCCAGTAAGCCGCTCTCTTGGAAGTCGATTTAAGTTCTTAATCTCAGATTCCTCTTCTTCATTGATGCCGTTGAATTGGCCGATGGCGACTCCTCCACGTATCAAATATGTAAGCATTCTAGGCGGCGTCTGTCACTGGAGTTGACTTTTTTGTAGATTTCATGTGGGGCGTGTCACACAGCGTTTCTTACGTCTGGTGGCGATATTTGGTCCCTCAGTTCTAATGAGGCGAATACCCCGATTCAAATTAGAACGCAAGATCCCGCGCTACGTATCGCGTGTGAGTCGCGTATTGAATGAAAGAGGGATTGGGACATTCCTGAACATTCGCTGTTTACTTTCCCAGGCGGATTCGATCACACGTTGATGGTTTTAGTCTCGAGGAAAATCCTCCAATGGCGACAGGAAAAAGTCCAAGAAGTAGAGATCGCGGACATTTCGAAGATCTGGGACTTTGAGGACTGTGGGGCAGGCAACGGCTTCAACGCAATTTTGCTAAGGAATCAAGAAACACGGAGAAGCCGTCTTTTAACGTGGGGTGAGTTGAGTTGCGCTGGTCGAATGAAGATCACTACATCTATTGATTTCGAGGCCGATCATCTGTAGCCTGCTGCGTTTAAGTTCTTAGTGCTTTTCTGATTGATCAGGATGGAACACAACAGTCGGCCAATTAGGAAGGGCGTTCTCTGAAATCAATGCACGAATTCCGTTGGATGTTCCTCTTCAAGAGATAGGAACTTTCCCGATTATTCAATTAGAAGTTGTGGGCGATGGTGGAGTGCTTGTTTGTTCGGAAGGCTTCAATGGCGCGTTAAGCTCAGGGTCAATATGGATGTGGGGAACCCTTCCAGTGCCTGAGAAACCAGGAACGGAACGACGTGGGCTTTACCTGAGGCGGTGGGACGAACCGTGGATAAGAGAGGGATTTTTGAATGACGGAGAATTCGATCAGAGAATGGAAATCATCGGAGCTCGACTTTCTCTATCTGGATTGGCTGTTATGTCGTTGCTAAAAGAAATGAAGATCATTGAAAAAGGTGTCAATCGACCTGAAGGTGTAGTCCCGAAACTCAATCTGTCGTCGATGCAACACAAGATCACAGTCCGTGCTTCTTCTGTTGAACCGGAACAAGTGGTGCAACATGCTGACGCTCCACGGAACGCGTCACCCGCAGTGAATGAATTCTGGAGAAGGTGGGGCGTTGAAGAAACCACAGCATCGACTCCATCAACATTGGATGTCCTCGCCCATTTTGTCGATAAGCAAACTCTCGAAGGATCTCCGAAAGATATTTCGATGACGAGCAGTCGAGATACCGCGAGGATGTCGGTTCCGCGTATGAAAGACACTCCTGGAACTGTCGTATCGACTGTGGAGAATATCCCAAAAAGTGACACCTTGCTGAGATCGGTCACACAGAATAGAAGTGAAAATATGAAAGCTGCAAAACGTCACGCATTTCTGCAGCCAATTGGAGCTCAACTGAAAAGAGCTCCATCTACCATTTCGAATGGAAGTGACCAACAGTGGTGGACAGCGTTGAGTAACAATAAAGCAGTCGCCGCAATGAAGGAAGCTTGGAACGATTTAGCAAAAGATGTGAAGACAGATAATGTCACTCTGTTCGGACAACGAAGCTTCATGAAAAGCAGTACTGGGACAAGCTTTGAAGAATCCATTGATGAGTGGTCGATTCTGCCGAAGCTCTCTGGTCCAGCATGGCAACGAGAACCCCTTCTAGAGATTAAACGACTCATTGCTGAATTTGAATCATTCAGACAATTAGCATCTGAATTCTGGCAAAATTATCTGCTGAGAGCCGAGTATAGCGTCTCACCCGCAAAACGTTCGACAGTCACTTCTGTGAGTCAACTTAGAAAGGTGTTCCTCGAATTACGACAGAAGCTCATCGAGCATTTCAACCTTGCGGAAGACTCAGCAATGTTCGATATGGACGCATTTCCAAATCTAACAGTGTGGTCGCTTCGGCGCTCTAGAGGATTGAAAGTTCCTCGGGGATGGATTTCGATGCGAAGAGCGTTGGTGAGCCAGTGGATGAAATGTGGTGCGGACTGTCTGTGCGGGAAGATGATGAATGATTTAAAAGATAATTTTGTTGCTGGGAAGAGTTTGGATCAGTTGATAACTTCACGGCAATCAACAAGCCAGAGTCCTCTCAATGATCAAGAGGAAAGAATGGCTCGATTGAGAATGGAAGCTTTTATCAGAGTGTATGGTGAACAGAATTTCCCTGACGTCCCCCCGCAAAATTGGGAAATCCAACTGAGTCAATTATCAATACTTGATGTAAGACTTGTCGAAGAGATATTTATGGTGACAAATATTTGTGATGATAAATGTCTATCCTTCATTGAAGGTCCTTCCATCGCACTCTCTACTTCCTCCCACATCAACTCGGAAGTCGTATGTTGGTTTCTATGGCTGTGCTTTAGTTGCATTAAAAATCTCAATCGTGAATCAATCCTCAGATGATGAATTGAAGGTAAAGAGAAGATAGATCCCTCACTCAAGATTCTTTCAATTCTATGTTATATATTTTTATAAGGCCTACGGATTAAGCTGCATCACACATTCTGACGCATTTTTGTTGCAGAGTCGATTATACGAAATTTTCATCCACCAGCAATTACGCCACCCGAACGTCTTGCTCTTCATGGGAGCGGTTATCAGGTTTGCGACTTCAATGTCTCTTTTCTCTCTATCGAATATTTCTTTTTTAGAGGGCCCCTCGTCGTTTTGGTCACTGAATTAGCGAGTCGGGGAAGCTTGTGGTCTTTGTTACATGAAAGGTATTCATCATAGCTCCACCCATCAATGCAAGATCTCGATTTCTCAGCTCTGTTCACTTATCTCACCAAGATATCTCAAACATCGCCACGGACGTTGCGGTTGCTTTAGATTTCTTGCATCGTCGGGGCGAATCCACCTTCGTGCACCGCGATGTCAAATCATCAAATATACTTCTAACAGGAGGGGATTTGTGGGGGAGAGGAGTCACAGCAAAGGTGATTAAGATGCATCGAGCAGTTTTTCTGACTTCTTCGCGTCGTGTGGTTATAATTTTCTGTTTCGTTCAGCTATGCGACTTCGAATGTGTTAAATCTCTTCCGCAAGACCTTCAAGTCAATTCCCAGCACAACCAGCTCTCACGCCGGTATCTTCTCGCTTCTGTCGGAACCAACGAAGTAGCAGAGAATCGGAGGCCATTGAGCAGAATTCCCATCGTCGACTTTCTTCAAGGCTCCTCACAGCCGCTCCAGTCATTGGGTTCTGCGGGAAGCTCGTTTTTCCGGAAAGCGTCTTCTGGATTCCGATCCATCAGTCGCATCGGTACTCATGTGGAACATGCAAGGGGAGTGTTGGCAGAATCAAGAAGACAAATGTTGGAATATGCGACAGCGTCAGTTGGTACACTTCAGTGGATGGCACCCGAAATGTTTAATAGAGAGATGGAGTTTGATGGCCGGGGTGCTGCCTTCAACTCCGAGCGTGGCGGATTTCCAATAGATCTCTTTCCACCTGCAAGTTCTGTTGTTCGAGACCTTGAGAGACTCAATTCTAGTCGGACCGTCGAACTCAACAAACGACGAAGCCCCGACCAGAGTCCTGATGTGAGCTCATCTCCTAGCCCCCCTGAATGCCTGAAGTTCTACAGTGAAAAAGTGGACGTCTACAGTTATGGAGTGACACTGTGGGAGTTGTTCGTGAGATCCCCGCCATATCTAGGTGTCGATGCTGTAACGGTAAGAGATAGTGCTCCAAGTGTTATCAATGTTTACCACTCTTTCAGGTTGCCCGCTTGGCTTGTGATCGTGAACTGCGTGTCCCATTGGATCCCTCGATTCCTCCAATCCCTTCTGCCATAATTGCTGCTTGCTTGCATCCAGACCCATCAAAGCGTCCTGATATGGCGACAATTCTAGAGTGTCTTGCTGAATGGAAGTCCCAAAGAGATGCTCAAAGATTTGGGAAAGAAGTCGCAAACGTGGCAAGAGATGTCTTGAGTGACGTATTAACGACCTTAGGAAAGTCAAACAAATAACCGGAATAATATGTTTTAAGAAATTGTATTTTATTTTTTGAGTGATTTTTCATAGCCAGTGTAATGAACCTGTCAACACGGAGGCAAAGCGTGTTTTCGCGTGAGAGCCTTCGCCGTTTCACAACCTTCGCAAAAGTTAGGGAATATCGCCCGGAGGAAGCTTTTCCAGATCTCCCAGATGCCGCAGAAAATGAAGTAGATGATGGGAACAAATGTGGTCAAGAGGGAAAGTCAATGATGACTCCCCGCTTGTCAGCAAGTTTAACGAAAGCAGGATATGGATTAGTTGGAAATCACAGCGCAGTGAAAGTCTGCCGATGGACAAAGAAACAGCTACAAGGTAAGAAATGATGACCCAGGTGATGATGATGACTGGGGTGATGATGATGACCGGGGTGATGATGATGACCGGGGTGATGATGATGGCCGGGGTGATGATGATGACCCAGGTGATGATGCTCATCATGAAGGTCACAAGATTTGACCTGTGATGAACACCAATGCATTCGGAGATATCTAATTGTGTGTGCGTTCCAGGTCGAGGTGGATGTTATAAACACACTTTCTATGGAATTGAATCTCATCGCTGCATGGAAACAACGACATTTCTTGCCTGTGCTAATCGGTGCGTGTTCTGTTGGCGACATCATACGCATCCCGTAGCAAAGGATTTTACCCGATGGTACGTTGCTCGGTCGTGTTTGTATCAATCGAGTATTCAATCGATATGTTGATAGGAAACCCGATCCGCCAGATATGTTGATTGAGAAGGCTATTGAAACGCACCGATTGATGATAAAACCATTGAAGGGCCTTGTAGGGGCAACAAAAGAGCGCTATGAAGAAGCAATGAATCCGCGACATTGTGCCCTTTCCTTGGTTGGGGAGCCCATCGTTTATCCCTACATCAATGAATTTGTTCAGATGTTGCACGATAGAAGCATCAGCTCGTTCATCGTCACAAATGGCCAACACCCTGAGTCTATCGATGGTCTCGTCACTCCGGTGACACAGCTTTACATTTCTGTCGATGCTCCAGATCCAGTAACACTCAAACTCATCGGACGGCCTCTGTTCAAAGACTACTGGGATCGACTGAGACAGTCACTGATGAATCTCAGTCAACGCACGGAACGCACTGTCGCGCGATTGACGGTCGTCAAAAGATGGAATGATAAGGACGTCGAGGTAAACGAGGTGCCGAACAGACTGACTCTCAGTTGTGTATCCGCAGGGTTATGCTGAACTCGTTCGTTTAGGGAATCCAGATTTCGTTGAAATCAAGGCCTTCACATATCCCGGACCGACTCCAAGCATCAAGGAGGCAAACCTTACCATCAATAACTGTCCTACTGGTCAAGACATACTAACATTTGGTCAGAAGCTGATCGATGCATTAAAAGGCAATTCAGGTTCAGGGAATGATCAAAAGCAGTGGGAGATTGCAAGCCTCCACTTGCATTCCAATAGCGTTCTTCTAGCCTCTAATGAATTTCAACTGACGCCTGATGAGCCAAGCGATGATGGGACTCGATGGAAAACGTGGATCAACTACGATACATTTCATGCACTAATAAGAGACAACGCGCCCGAATTGGGACATAGGGATCCCATGGGGCTGTTCTCATCTCGCTTAGCATCTCTCTATAGACGACACTCCCCAAGTTGGGCGTCTGTCGACTCTCCCTTGGGCGGTTTTGACCCCCAATTCGATACGAAGGGCTGGATTGCGCAACTAGCGAATCGTCGAGTGCACGAACAACACGACGAACATCTCGACGAGCAATAATGTGACTGGGCCTTTAGTTTTTTAAAAAAACAAAATCAAACATCCTGAGAAAAGACAAAAACTCAACATCTAATGATGATCATCATCGGCATCACAACACTCTAAATAAGCCGCTTTATCCACCAGATTGGGATTTGTTTCTGGTGCCAGTTCGTCGGCATCTTGGACTTGAATCTCCACCAGCCATCCTTCACCTTCTGGATCCGAATTCATAAGTTCAAGAGAAGCTTCGTTATTTTCAGTGATTTTTGGATTTGCACGAACCAAAGTTCCACTGACTAAGGACCACAATAGAAGGGGCAGCGAAATTTCAAATCAATCAAACAAGCAGAATGGATCGTGCGTGTGGCTAACCTGGTGAGAAGACTTCTCCAACAGCCTTGACTGATTCTAGATTCGCGATATCCTCCCCTTGTTTTACTGGAGATCCAATTGAAGGAATGTCAACAAACACAACCTGATAATCCGTCTGTGAGAGTATTGAAAATGAATCCAAAACTGACCTCGCCAAGCTTCTCGAGCGCTACAGAAGTTATTCCAACACGCGCCACAGTGTTTGAGATGGGGGAGATGTACTCATGCGTCTTAGTGTAATAACATTTTCCCTCTGAGATTGGAGATAGATGAAACCGCTCTTGAAGGAAAAATGCTTACTGGACGCAAAACAACGCGCAGCCAGAGCGGAGAAAGAATTGTACCTAAAAACGATCTGAGCGCAGATATGAACAATACTGAACCTTCAAGAAACTGAGCTCAAAGAAACTGAGCTCAAAGAAACTGAGCTCACTCGTGGGGTAAAGAACGCCATGTAGAAAAGCGAATGAACTACAAGAACATAAAAAGGAAACGTCAGTGTCTCAGCGAGGCATCTGTGACTGAATTCTGCCCCAATGCTTCAGATTTTTTATCCCGCTATGCCTTTGATGCTTGAATTCAACAGGTCTTCTCGGATAAGATGATAGTCGTTTCAACGAGGTCGCTTACTGGGGAATGATGTGGCTATGGAGTGCGTGGATGTCCAAGGAGGATTCAAGATCGGGGGATCTGAGTCAAAAACCACGAGAATTTTCTAGTGATGCTTTCAGGTAAAAATTGAAAGGAAGTGAGAAATCAATTTCATTCTGTCAATTCCATCCTGTCAATAACTCCCTTCATAATCTGCTATTCGAATGTTTCCTCAGCGATATTTTACAATCGTTCTTTCGTTTGAAAGAACAGTTGTTAGGAGAATCCCATGCGTCGGGGAGGACAGCTGCCCCACTTTGTAAGTTTCTCACAGCTACGTATCCTACCAATTCTCTGTTTCTTAGCACCTTCGCCGATTGAACTCCAACTGATCGAAATCATTCGACTGATGACGGAGCATCTTATATGGGGAGATCAACACCACGATGAAACATTCTTTTCGTAAGTCTCCTTCATTTCACTTCATGGACTGTTTTCCGTTCTTTCAGCCTTTTCTGTGAAGCAAATGTGATTGGTACACTTGTTCAATTGTTTTTCCGCCCGACCCTCACAAGCGATTATCTCAAAGTTCAGATATTCCAAACACTGAATCTCTTAACCCAGAATATAGGACAGTCCACTTCCCTTTGTGAGTTTGAATCCACGCAATACAATCAAATCTTTCCGTCTTTCAGTCTTTCTTTTCAGTAACAACCAAATTAACAAGTTAATTTCGTCATCCTCTTATATGGAGTTTGCCTTAGAACCTCGGTGCTACAATTTCATCTCTAACCATGTCACCCCAATGCCTGATTGGACACGAAGACATTCCAAACATCTCAGCGGCTCACCGGATCACCAGGATGCGTCATCATCTCGCAACGGATCACAAGCTTCAGGCAGACTCGCTTTTCGTCGCGACAAGACCAGTCGAACCCCACAGTCCCAACTTTACAGCAAGACGGAGGATGACTTCCGTGATGATCTCGTCTCTTGGTTTGTTTCTTTTCTGAAGAGCATCTCTCTGTGTCTTTCACCTCAAATACTCCGATTTTTCTACAATGAGGTAATGCGTGTAGAATTGTCATCTGTTTTGCATGAATCCTGTATTTCAGGGCTCGCCGGATTTTCCACTCTATTCTGAGGCTGCTCGTTACATAGCACATCGTGACAGCATGGTTCGCACTCATGTTCGTACCATCACGTTGAATGTTTTCCAGAGTAGGGCTTTAGATCATAAGTCGTCCATCAGCGCTCTCTGCCTGCTTCTCAGTTGACGACGCACCTTGTAGAGAGTTTGTTGTTCGTCGCTCGTCATTTTTCACCCATTTGGTTAGTCGTCCGAATCCCATATTTGTTCTAAAGTGAGTTCCCATTCCTCAGGCTTGTTACCTGAGGGAAATCTGGCTTGCCATTGCGATAAGGAAGGCTCAGCTTGGTCGTGAGCCACTCATCCCATGATTGACTGTTTTCTCATTCTCATTTCCGATTCTTCTTAGATGCGGATGTTAGCGGCGTCAAGTCACTCTTGAGTACGTTCTGTTTGTATCGAATCAATTACGTGTCACTCTCAGATGAGCATGAGGATTTCCTGCTGTATTTGCACGACATTTATCGCTTGGGCGTTCCTGAAATCAATGAGGTATTTGCGTCGCTTACATCTCTCCCTGTATTTCACTTCTCTATTCAGATCTTATGCGATCGGTTGCTCCGATTCGCGCTGCTCCCTGTCCTCTCTGGTTCGCTGTTGCCTTTTGCTGCCTGGTCAAATGACTCACCGAACACAAAAGTCGAAGGCGATGAAAGTCGGAAGCAGTTGCGATTGAACCAGCCAGCTTCTCCCTCGGAAGAGGCAACTGCATCTGATATTCCTCGCCAGTCGTCCTTATCGAGTGGAGAAGCCAGTGGAGAGTCCGTCACTCCCATAGACCAGTCTAGTGGTGGCGATTTGAGCAACAATGGTGGCGTCTCAGAGACAAATCAACCTGAGGATGCTTTTCTCGCTTCTGCTGATCCAGAAGAGGCTGCTTCAGCTATAATCGAGCCGGAGGGTCTGCCTCCTCTAGAGAATGAGTCAAAGAGTGAAGAACAGGTTCTCCGTCTGGTCGCTGAGCAAGATCCTGGAGCTCGAGACGCAAGCACGCCTGAACTCTCTGGGCGTCATCTAGATCCTCTTCTCACTCTATTGTTGACATCCCAAATATTTGAGGTAACGAATGGATTGACGGGCAATACAAGTTGTCCTTGGATCAGGTACAGGAAAGTTTAGGGATCCCTCAGCTTATCACGGCGATCGTTCTTCTTTGTCCAAAAATTCCACGTTGGTTGATGTCTTTCGTTGGAACTCCAGCTCTCGCGGATCCCTCCACGTCAGTACAATACGGATCCAACCCTTCTCATTGCCGTGCGTTCAGGTATCGACTTCTTTATGATCGCCCCCGAAGTCGGCGTCCCTCCAACGACAACTACCAAAAACCAAGAGGTTCGTACGCTTCTTGCACCAGGCACATCAATCTTGTTTTCAGCGATACGGGATTCTACAAGACGCCATCGGAAACGCGCAAGACATCATCATCGTCGGTACCAGAATCGTCTTGCTCTTTCCACTTCTTCCATTCCACATCTCCGCGAAACTCTTAATGCTTTAGTGCGCTTTGATGAAGAGCAAGATAGACGGGATGCGAAGTCGTCTTCCACTGTTCAGCAGGCTGAAGCCCCTCCCAGCTTGCCATCGATCTTGTCACTCGTAGACAATCCAGTTCGCCACGAAGTGCTTCAACTGCTTCAAGTAGGAGGCATGCCGTCGTCTTCATTATTCCACTACGGCTTTCAGAGTGACTCAATCGGCGACTCCACGAAAATGGCTCTTGCTTCATTTCTTACTCTTCTCATGACTTCGTCTTGCTTTTCGTTAGATCTACTCTCTCCGTCATCGGGTCTCAAGTCAACGATCGCCTTCCTCCAACTTTGTCGTTTACTTCCATCAAAATCGAAGCTCCATAGAAGCGCAATCGATTCAACTTTATCACATGAAGATCACACTCTTTTACGGAGATGGTTACCAGCGATGGAATCAAGCCAAGATCATGATTCATTAGAGACACCCAAGGAATCCTCTACTGATTTGTCACTTGAGTTGTTCTGGCTCCTCATTTCTTCCCTCTATCGCCTCACGACCCTCCGGATTGTTACCCTAAGGTCGGGCGTCCCTATCGAATCATGATTGGCAACCCTTTCCCTATTCCTCACTCTATTCAATTCAGTTCTTCTGAGTCTTACATGACTGTTTTTCAGGGCTCTGTGTTACTGTATTGTCATCGGAATGCAGTCCATGGGAATCCAAGTCCTTCTCGAGCTTTCTGAGATCTTTGATCGAGCTCCAGTCAATCCCTATTCCCCAGCATCGTGCCCTTCAGCCCATCAGCTTCTTCTCAACTTTCGAGGCCTACTTTCTAGTATCGATTTACGCCTTCAGCAAGTGAGGCAGACCAACGCTGATTCCTCCAATAGCCTTCGCGCTACTCTCAGGTTCAATCTGTTGCGGGGCAAGAATTGCAGGACAGTCTCAACGCTGCGAGGCTTCCAGCTCCCGAAGTTCTAATTCTCTTTTGGGATGAGTGGAGGGTCAACCGGTGAGGCTCAGCAGACCGTCAACGCTCCTTATTGCCTTATCTGCTCGTTGCTGTCTGCTATGCTCGTTGTTATGTTTGGTTTTGATGCTTCTCGTAGTGTTCCATTCCCGCCCTTCGAGATGTGGGCTCTCAATCCAGATGCTCTATTAGCAACCCCCCAATCCCCTTCAACCTCTTCTACTGGGACTTCGGGTGGCGATGCTTCGGAGTTTCTCTTCACCCCTGTCACTCAACTTCCATTAAGAGAACAGCTTAAACACGCGCTCCAGGTAAGTCCCTTTATAGATCGCCCCTCATTGCCTCAACTCCTCGATCTCATTACTCTTCTCATTTCAGTCATTCCTTATCATTAGAAGAGTCCGCTATTCCCTCAGAGAAGTCTTTCATTGCGTTCTTCAACGAGTGGAAAATTATCGACTTGCTACGGAACTTTCTTCATCCTCCTCTTCTGTCCCTAAATTCAGTTCTCCCACTTCGATGGTCGATGTCTATGGGATCAAGTGCATTCTTAATCGGGAACTCAATGAAGCGTCGCCATTAGAACTTGATTGGTTTCAAGAAAATCATCGATCGTCTCCTGGACCTGGTTGCTTGAAGCCGCATCGCTCAGTGTCGTCCACGTCCCTGTCTCTAGCTTCCAATTTATCGCATTGCATTTGTCCGATTTGTGTCAGATTGCGCTCAGATAAACCTGTCGGGACTCATCAATCAGTTGGAGATCTTGTCACAAAATTGCTTCATCCACCAATCTTAGCGGATATCTCAGTAGAAAATCTCTGGGCTACACCGGAAAGGAAGGGTTCTAGTTCCAAGAAGGAGGCTTCTGCCAAGGAGGCTTCTGCCAAGGAGGCTTCTGCCAAGGAGGCTTCTGCCAAGGAGGCTTCTGCAAACGAGCCTTCTTCTGGGGATGTTTCTTCAAAGGATGTTTCTTCAAAGGATGTTTCTTCAAAGGATGTTTCTTCAAAGGATGTTTCTTCAAAGGATGTTTCTTCAAAGGATGTTTCTTCAAAGGATGTTTCTTCAAAGGATGTTTCTTCAAAGGATGTTTCTTCAAAGGATGTTTCTTCAAAGGATGTTTCTTCAAAGGAGGCTCCCTCAAGGGAGGCTCCATCTCCGGATGAAGCGAATGAGTCAGAGACGCGAATGATGAGGGATGCTCCGACTGATCGGTTGAAGCAAGCAAATGATCCAAGTCTGTCATCAGCGAAACGGGGCTCTTCTGTTCCGAATTTTTGGCGTGCATTGCGACATCTTACGCGTCGTCCTATTTTAGATCTTCGAGAATCCTTGTTTCCTGATCATCAACAAATTCGGTTTTGGAACATTCCCAACTCGACTCGCTTCCTCTCCAGGTTTGTCGACCGGCAGCTTCCCTTCCTACTGGTATAATGAGGAAGGTCCCAACGACAGTTCCGGAGACGGCAGTCTCCTGAACGCCTCCTCGACGAGAGTTCTCGAAGACAGTCTCGCGTTTGCATCTTCAAGACCGTTCAGAAGTTTTTCGACCGCATCTGAGTTTTCAACTGATTCTTCAGAATATTCAGATCCGAAAAGTCTGACTGCTCCCGATCAAACACTCAGTTCTGCCGCTCATCACCAAAAGTCTCCACCTTCGTTTCAGCCCCTAAATCTTCAATTGACACTAATTCGCGGTCGGATCAATCAACACACAGCTCAACCCAATCAAGTAGGCTCTTGACGAATCAAATCCTTCTTGTTGGAATCTGCCACCAATGTATTCTTTTCAGGAATTCGTCGAGCGCTATTTTGCTGTTCACTCAGAGCTTCTTCTGTTCCTCACCCCCCATTCTCAACACCAATACCATGCGACTGTTTCGGAAATCCTGCCCGTCTTTAGCATCCTCTTCTGTTCAACCAGCCGAGGGGATCCAACGCAGCTTCACATTGACTTCATTGCTGAAGGGAATCCTGCAGCGATTCCACCCGAGTTTGCAGTAAGGATTGGGAGCCTTCCTCCTCTGAGTACCAAGTTTGAAGCTAAAGTCGAAGCAGTCATCTCCGCAGCATACCACGCGTATCCAGTAGCTCCAGAAGTAGCACCTGCAGCGCCAAGCGAAGGACAAGCTAGAACTCCCTTGCTTGTCGTGGACACACCCAATCGCCGACTTTTTGATCCAAAGAAGGAAGTATCGCAAGTGATCCGAAGGTACCAGTAGAACTCGGGCTCAAATGCGTCAAATAGCTTTCGCGTCATACTTGATGCTCTTACAACCATTTCTGTTTCACAGTTCAACGACACACACTGTTGCTAACTGGCCTGTCAGTGAAGTGAAGAGAAACTGGGCCTTCATCGCTGCACTCTCCAGTTCGATAGCACAGCAAGAGCCCTCCATCTCCAGGTTTGTTGCATCATCAAAAGTCCTCAACTACGATTCTTCTTCTCAGAAACAAATTCAAGAGAGTTTTCGAAGTTGTTCTGCGCGTCTACTGGAATCATTGAATCTGTTTCTCTTGTCATCAAGTCCACCCCATTTTCAAGAATAGTCGAATCGCACAGATAATTCAAGAAGAGACAGATAATCCGAGAATGGACAGATAATTCGAGAATAGACGGCTATTGTGTTTTGATACAATGAGATACCAATCTAAATATTCTGGCCTGGTCCCTTGGCACGATAGAGCATTCGACATGCAACCGTGATCCTGGTCTACAGGATAGTCAATCACATGAGAACACCATCCATCTCGAAGGTGTCAGTCCGCCCTGATTCTTATGGAGGATACGGGTTGTTCGCCAATATGAACATCGGCGCTGGCGATGTCATTCTTGTCGAGAGTCCGCTGTTCGTCTGTCCGACTGATATGGTCGGAATGTTCAACCGGTTTGGAAGGCTATCAACCTCTGAGCTGGAAACCCTTTCAACTGTCAAAGCACACACTGATTTGTTGTCAGAAAGCGACCGAGAGAAGATCAAAAGTCTCTCAAGTGACTCTGAAACCGCAAAAGCATTTCAATGGTTCGTTTCCGTCATGAAGTGCAACGCTCATGGAGTTTCAGCAGAAGCAGTAACGTCGTCTTCTTTATCTGCTCGCCAGAAGAGTCTCTGGGCGATCTTTCCTGTCGGCCTGCGCGCCAATCACAGTTGCCGGCCAACTGCATCGTATCGTAGCCTTCCAGGGCAGCGGCTTTGCTACGTTGCCCTCAGGTCTTTGAAGCGAAACGACGAGGTAACGATGGCGTACACCGATTGCTTATTCGGATCAACGCGGTTCCGGCGGGAACGACTGCGTGCTCACAAATTGTTCATTTGTTGTTGCGAACGGTGTGAAACGAAGGAAGACCCTGCACGTCGGGTGTTTTGTCCCCATTGTCGAGGAAAGAATCCGGATGATGCTGTCAATCGAGAAATCAACCAGAGATCGATTCCTGAAGGGAATAAGAAAGGGTTGCCTTCTTACATCCAATACATGGATGACAACAGCTGGTTTTGTCCAAAGTGTGAGCTGACATTTGAGGACACAGTCACGCCAGCAGTTGTTGAAGCCACATTGGAATCAGTTTACACGCAACTCGATCTCAACTTTGCTCAACCAACACCTGAAGCGTGGTTAAATTATCTGATGTATTTATTCACAACTGGGAAACAAATTCTAGGACAACTTCACTGGCTCACAGCTGCATGTCATTATCTTCTCAGCCGCTATTACGTTGGGCTTTGGTATGGAGGGGAACGAGGTCTTCCGACGGTCGAGCGAGCAAGCTTACACGGAGATGAATTCTTCGACTATGTGCAGGTACATACCTGATACAGTGATTCGTCTAACTATTCGATCTCAGGGATGGTCATCGAGTCGACGTCCTATTTTCATCCTTTACATCTCCTTCTCTCCAGCTCTGTTCCCGTGATGCCCTATTGACGGATCTTCTTCCTTGGGCTTCATCTCTTATGCGTCTAGCGCTGCGATCGGGAAACGCGCATCTATTCAAGAAATACGCGGACAAGTGAGTGGCTGAGATGATTGCTTGAATTTTTCAGGTTTAATGTATTGTATATCTATATCTCGGGGTTATGTATCGTAATATATTGTATATCTATATCTCGGATCCATTCTCGCAGATACCTCGCTCTTTTACCGCGCGTTTATGGATCATGGGACTCTGCGGTCGTCGCCTACTCAGCCGCGTACACCAAACTCCGTTCCGGGCCCTGCTCTAATGACATGCTTGCGAATTTCGCGCAACAATCACAAGATCCTTCACCAATCGATCCTCCTGGCGGGCGAACACGATCGCACTCTTCGCGACAACGTATCTACTCTGATGATTCTATCAAAGTCCCAAACGTGTCTCGATGGAAGATCAAGCCGTGGAAGAGTCGAAATGAAGATAGAAAGAGTTCAAGAAGAGCGCATTCCCGCCGAAAATCAAGCCCGACGCGCTCTGCCGCAGAGACTCGTGGGGGGAGCAACACTCTGTCGCCGAGAGCATCAAATCGTTGTTCCAGACATTCTGACGAAGCGAAAATAACGAGAGTTGTTGAACAAGAGGCCAAAAAAATTTTAGAGCGGCTTCTTGCATCAACAAGTAAAGGTCGACAGAGCAACAGGGACGGAACGAACGACGACAGAGGAAGATTAGAAGCGCGAGTTGAAAAACAATTCCGGAGAGGGATTCGAAAAGCTTTGGCGGCCCCCAGCGATTACGGAAGCTTCGAAACTCGTCAGCCTCTCACCGGTGCAAGTAGTCAGCGTCACACCGAAATGTCGCGGAGATCTCCTCATGTACGACCAAAGTCCAACCGGCGCGTTTCGTGGGGAATTCCTGATTCTACCATCGAGCTATCAGAAGGAAGTCCCCAGAAAGAAGTGCCGTCGTCCACTCGGTTTGGCAGCTGTCCTCCCCAAATGTCGGATGTACACATGGACGAATCGAAGCATAGACGACATCACAGCAAGGTGAGGCTGTCTACTGGAAAGGCTTGGATGATTTTTTGTCCTTCAGAGAGGTCCGGCCTCCCCGGAACTCGTTTCACACCAGCATTCTCCTCGCCACACGAAATCCTTCGAGTCCCCACTTCCAGTACAACAAACTAAAACATCTCTCAACAGCATACATCGTGTCTTTCAAATCAGCAATTCTCTTCCTGTACAAACCGCACAAACCAAATCATCGCAACTCAAGTCGTTCTCAAATATGCCGATCTATCGCGCTCGACAGCCCGCAGCTCCAACCACTCCCCCTGGAGTGTTGCCTCTTACCTCGCTTCTCAGCCCATCACCGTTTATCTCCCAAACAGTTCCGCCGAGATACCAGAATAGTCATCCGCATCAAACGCAGCGTCTTCAGGGGTCAGGCTATGCAACTTGGAGTCGTTCTCATTTAATCCAGTCAGGTGACGTAACAGACAAGGGGACGTTTGCCGATCTGTGCAAGAGTTCTCGTCGCTCTCTTCATCCCAAGCAGCTCAACAATTCATCACCCTCACTACCAGCAAGCAATCAATACACCGTCATGGCAACAAACCAATTTGCAGGTGTTCCATCACCGTTCACGTTGTACAATCCTGTACCATCCCCTTCTGCTCAGCGGCTGAATGTCTCTTCGCCAAGACGCTCCAGAAATCCTAAGAGAACGCACCACAACCACAACCACCATCACTCAAAGCGGCATCGGTAAATGTAGCACTGTTTTTTATGGTGGAACCTTTTTTTAATGAATTTCTTGCAAAGTGTAACTATTCAGAGTAGAAGGCACCAGGTAGCTTATTTCTACGGACAACATCTAACGACAACGAATACACTGGATCAACCGGTTTGAGTTCCCTGACTGCCCCAAGAAGCGATAGACCAGTTACCCCAAAGAATGTGTGGAAGACATCAGCAATGTCTCCAGTACGATCTGCGATCCCTGGAAATAAACAAATCTTGAACCAGTAGGAGAAATGCGCATTTACCTCCTTCCTCGTCTTGACTGCTTAGAATGAAATCTGTAAGCGCTTTAGAATCAATCCAGTGATCTCGACCTGAAGAGAGCAAAGTCTTAATAAAAAAGTTCTTGGTCGGGTTTCGGGACTCACCAATGACTTTCAGCGCTGATAGAATCCACCAGGAATAACAGACATCTGGAGCTTTCTCCGGTCGTCCATTGAAACCTCCACATCGACCCGGAATCTGGCGCTCGACTAGCCACCGTCCAACGGCGTCCTACAGAATAAGGATGTAATTGAATCAACTCGTTCAGATAGAGAGTTAAAGACGTATTAAGGAGGGAGAAATGGAAGAAGAAGAAATAGAAGAAGAAATAGAAGAAGAAGAAACAGAAGAAGAAGAAATAGAAGAAGAAGAAATCGAAGAGGTTTCGAAGTTATTGGAAAAAGTGTTTTCTTGTGTTTTTACCCGATCGATTAAATCTAGACTTTCTAGAAGAGACAAAGCTGGAGGAATGGAATGGAAAACCGGCAAGAAGCAAATATAGGTGAATACCTCCAACAGAGCAAAAAACATATGCTGCATGGGATTCAGCTCCCGGAACGTTCCCGAATCCTCCATCAGGATTATGACATCTGCAAGAATTCAAAAGTGAGAGTGATCACAGTCAAGGTGAACAAATCTCACTGGATGATCCAATGGCGTGCTTTTTCCGTGCTGATACAGTTCAACCGATTAACGATTGTTAATATACAAATAGCGCAATAAATGAAACGGCCGTCTGATTCTCCCCATTCGTCCGCCGAGAATGAGCCATCAGGATTCTGATGAACAACTTTAAACGAGATTGTCTTCGATCAACATCACCTGGAGGGATTGAACCCAAGCGATCAGTGGTTCTACTTGAACTTCATCGAGAGAATTCATCATCGCTAAAATGAGCAAAGCATACTGACATCCCCAATAAGTACAACAAAAGAAGCCACTCACTAGTGTTGAAGTCAAATGGGCGTCTTGGCCAATATTTGAGCCGTAGCCTCCACGGAGAGGATCCCAGCACTTAGAAATCCATGCGACTATCGTTTTCGAGGAAACCGAAGACTTGCGATCGAAACATTCAGACACCATCTCTGTAGACTTCAGAGGTGGCTTGTTCAAGAAACCCATCATATCAAGGGCGCCCAAACCCCAGAAAGCTCCTCCCATTCTCAGATGATCTGACATCAAATATTCCAGGGTCTCTTTGTCGCTGTCTAATCGTTCTATATACGACTGATGCCTTCTCGCGTAGAACTTGTGGGTGGAGCTCAGACAACATTCCCAATCTTCTTCTTGCAGGTCGTCCTTCATTCTAATCTGAGTGACTGCTACAATAGTGCTTGTTATATCTGGTCCAGCTTGTTGTTAACGCAGGAATTCGGGACATAATTGAGTAAAAATAAAATACCGGAGGACCCAAGATTGTTAAACTCCTCCCGCGTTTACCCGCGCTTGCTTGGATCTCTGAATAGTACGACAATGTAGAGAAAAGCGTTGTACTACTGGTGAGTGTGATCTATGGGATGCCTCTTTCTTCGTCCTACAACTTTTTTGTTCTGTTAAATATCTTTGGTCCTACTTCTATCTCCCCTGCACCAATTTTACACGAAAAGGAAAAAGGAGAGAAACAACAGATACTGCGCTAAGCACAAATGTATCAATTTGGCATCACAGTACTAGCGAATTCCAAAAATCCAGAGCATCCAAAATATGTGATGCCTGACTGGGTGAATATCTGTCTCTCTAAGAAAGTTTACTTCGTCGAGCAAGTGTCAAAAGTGCTTAAGCGGGATACTCGACCATCGAGTCAAACGGGAGCCTTCATGAGTAGGAGGGCGTGGTGGTTGTGTGTTGCTCTCAAGTGACAACTTCTTCGCAACTGCGTCTATGAGTGCAACTGTTCAAGTTTGCTTAGAACTAGAAAGCACGCCAAAAAAGCTTATGATTGCAAACCAACTGAACGATTTGTGTACTTCAATGCCAAGAATGCTACAACACGATATCCAAACCCCAAGACGTATAGAAGTAACATCGTGAGCCAGAGGGGTTCGGACACTCCAGCCATCGCAACTGCTACATGATTTGGGACAACACCGAAGTATCCACCAGATGGGAACTGATTTGTCACCAAAGAGAAAAATCCCCATTTATAGAAGGAGACGTAGGACAGCCAGCCAATCCACTTTGGTATCTGCTCATCGCGAAGGAAGAATCCAGCAATTGTTAACCAGATCACAAGAACAACAGGCGCAACGAGAACTGCAATTTCCAGGCGGGGTGATGCTGCAGAGACCAGATACCCAAACCCATAAGCCGCAAAAGTGATTCCCGAACAAATAAGGAAGTAGAGGAAATATTGGCCAACAGTTCCTCCCAAACCAACGAAGAGGTAGTAAATGGTGATTAAGACAAAGGAAGGGAAAAGTTGGAAGGGCAAATCCGCGAGATTCTTCGCCAGGAAGTAAGAAGAGGTGCGATACAACCCGTTGGCCGATTCTCGATTGAACAAAGCACGCTCTTGGGGAAATGTGAGAAGGGCGTCATAACTCGCGAATCCTAGATTAGCAACCATGAAGAACAAAGCACCTAGAATATTAACAACAGCCATCACAGCGACAAATGCATCGTTTCCCAGCTTTAAAGTGTCGTCGTATTTATTGCCGATCCACTTGCACGCACGATTGTCACAACTTCGTAGACGATCAAGGATTGCAGATGATGTTGAAACAAAATCTCTTGAACCAACTCCAACCAAATCGTACATGGCGTCTTCAATTCCTGTATCGCCAACGGTAATCAAGCTTCTCTTATCCGATTGTACAGGAAACGCTGGATATCCCGAACATGTCATGAAAGGGTTGAGAGCATCCTTCGCAGCGTATCGAGATATGGCGAGCCAATAGGTCGATGGGTCAGTCGCCTTTTCTAGATCTTTCTTAATTTCAGTCATGTCTCGTTTCATATATTGATAATCGAGCTGTTGCAACACACCAATCAGATTCCCGACAGTCTCCTTCAGAATAAATTCGTCGTTAAGATCCTTGGGTTGATTCTGGCGAACTCCGAAATCTGGGTAGTCGTGACTATTCAGGACCATTTTTCCAACTGCGCAGGTAGTCGTATTTCTCAACCACATCATTGATTTTTCGTCGTTCAACAGTTCCAGCAATGGCTGACTCCCTTTTCCATCCACTCCAGATTCCAACGCATCAAGAAGAGGCTGCCGTCCATCTATTCCATGAATGAATAGCTGAATCCAGTCGTTTTGAACGAAAGCAGCAGGATCGAAGGGAACGGGCTTCTGTGTGGAGACGTCGGCAGTCAGTTGCCAGAATATCCCACCTGAAAGAATGCATTAAGTCGATGTATATTCTCCTACTTGCGTCTGGTATTGATCATTGAATCTGGCATTGAATTGTTGATATCATGGCATTCACTCCTACCAAGAATTATTCCTTGAAGCGCTTGAACAAGAAGCATGATACAACAGACTATCGGATTTCGTATAGAATTCTTAAATGATCTCTGTAAAAAAAAACACCGCATTATTTTGACGTATCGGAATGCGGTCACTCTTACCCAATACAATGCGTGCACTTCTCGCAACCACGACTTTGTTGCTGAAACGGGACGAACTCGATTTGTTTTTCCAACGCCTTGATTTTCATGAATAGAATTTTGGATCACATCAATTCGTTTCTTCAGTACGTCGCTCTGAACAACAGATTATTATGTTTACTCGACTTCTATATTCAATTCACTCTTCTTTACCTCTTTCGAACATTCGAACGCTTTGATCAGTTTCACCGTGTCCATTCCACCAGCAGGAAAAGAGAGAATTCCACCTTCTGCTTCAAGTTCGGGAGTTTGGGTGTCATCTATCGAACCACGACGGCTTGATGCTTCAGCTGTTGAATTTCCACGACTTGAATCCCTCATAGAGAGCTGATCTGCATTCTCTTCATCTTCAATATTAGAAATCAATCCTAATAGATAATCTGCTGGATTATAGTTTTTGGGACATTCGAAACCCTAAAATAGATACAAAAAAGACAAAATAGATACAAAAAAGACAAAATAGATACAAAAAAGATACAACAGGAATACAAGAGAAGGAATCTTTTGTACAACACTGACGCCTCACTCACCAATCGTGCAAAGTATGATTTCGCATCGGCGGCTTTTCCATGATACACGATCGATCCACGAGAGATAAGAGCGACGTGGTCGAATTGACTCCACATCTGAAAAATGAATGAGGAAAATGAATGAGAAAAATGAATGAAGAAGGAGTGATCGACACGGAAACATCTTCAAGTCCTTACTTGAGAGGTTGGTTGGTGAATGGAGCAAATAACTGTACGTCCATTACTCGTCAACCGCTGCAATAGGCTGAGTAATTCGCAGGCCAATGTACTGTCAAGCCCGCTTGTAGGTTCATCCAAAATCAATACTGAGGGCTCGCTCAGCAGCTCGATCGCGATACAAACACGTTTGCGTTCCCCTAACAGATAAGAAGCTTGAAATCGATATCCGAGATTCATTCCACACACCTGTACTGATTCCCTTCTTCCATTCGCCACCGACGTAAGTGTCACGGCAACGCAATAGTCCTAGTTCACCCATCACATGCTCGACACGAGCAGCTCGCTCCACTTTAGAGGCTTCTGGCAATTTCAACTTCGCGGCTGTCATCAAAGTTTCATGAACGGTGAGATAAGGCAGAAGTCTGCCATCCGTCATGACGTAATTACATCGCTCTCGAAATGTTTTCTCAGTCCCGGGATATCCATTGTACAAGACATCTCCTGTTCGAACGCCACCTTTCGCACGAAATGCGATGTTGTTCAGCAAGGTGGTTTTTCCTGCGCCAGATGGTCCAACGACAACAAGAAGCTCTCCAGGCTCAGCGAGGAGATTAACGTGACGAAGCAAATTCTTCCCTTTGACGGAGTAGGAGACGTCAAGACACGCCACTGAGAGCGGCTCGGCGCAATGATTTTTATCTGACATCGGAATGAAAGGAATTGAAAACTGGACAAATCAACGAAAAATAATGAGAATGGAGAACAAGTTCAAAAAAACTCTTGGAGAATTTCGTCAAAAAACCATCAGAATTTTTGGGCTAGCAACGCCCGATTTAAGGAACTGCGGCTGTCAAACTGTTGGGTCAATCTGGTATCAGGCACGTTCCCACGCACTGAAAGAACGTGCAATTTTTGTTGTGGCAAGGAACGATCATCTATTGCGTCGATCTGTATAGCAGATATTCTTTATGTTCGGAAGTGTACCTGCCGTATAGATGATAATGACCCCATTACAGTGGATTGGTTCGTATTAGCAACTTGAGAAGTTTTGTAAACCCAGTCATTGAACTCTTACTTCTCTAGTCACTATTTAATTTTCAGGTTGTGTTACCGTTGGAGTTTTGTGGGGGCTTAACGAATCCATTTTTAAAATCTGGATCTGAAAATGCTTCGTCACTGTCAACAAGCAGCTTGCCGTCGGACGAATTGTTCGGGATCACTGTTCCTTCGCTATTTTATCCAGTGGTGAAGTTCCTCAAAAGATCAGTTCTTCCATATGTTTCCAACGCAAAGGTAATGGCTCTTCGTTTTATGCGCCAACATTCACTATGTTGCAGTTTATCGTCCCCTTTGCCATCAATCAAGCTGGATCGCTTCTTTTCCTCATCCTGTTGGCGCAAACTGGTATTGTTAGTCAATCATCAATAGCTTCATTGTCAGTTATCTCAGACATGTCTGTGACGACTCCTGTATGTGGAGGTCTTTCCTTTGGGGGAACAGTTTTAATTGACAAATTTGTGTTCAAACGAAACCTTTCCAGAGGTGAAAGCGTCAGGCGTTCGGCAACACGTGCACGATTCTTTTCAGGAGAGTTATGTGGTGCCTTCTTAATTATCTCCGGAGTGGTTGTGGCTCTCGTTTGAAGCTATTTCTGACACTGTGGTGGTTGCTTCCTTCAAAGCAGTTCCGAGTCTGCCAAGTGCTTCGGAAGGGCAGAACATGCTATGCAGTTGTCAATGCTGCAGACTTGTGTGGATGTTTGCGTTCGTGCCACTTGTTATACTGCTAGGCTGTTATACTTTTAACTCCATTCAATGATAACCAGAACAAACTGGAAATCGCTGTTCGAAAGACTTTTGTTTTAGCCACATTTCGCTCCAGTCTGAAGTGGACGAGCATCTACTCCGGCAAGGTGATGTTCTTTATGGTGAGATCATCCCTTCACTTTCATACATCGAGGGAGACCCTAAATTCGCACGGGAACTGTTGCTCGTGTCGCCTCCA